AATTAATATTAATTTAAAAAAAAAAAAAAAAAAAAAAAAAAATAATAAATGAAAATTTTAATGTAATCAATATATCCATATTATAGGGAAGAATATTATAATGATATTGATTTATGTATGAATAACTAATGTTATATTTCTATTTGTTTTTATAATTTTTTTTTTTTTCTTTTATTAAATTTTGAATTTTATTATTAACAACATTTACATTAATTATATTATATAAATATATTAAAATAAATAGTATACATTTTTTCTTAAAATATGAAAGTTATTATACGAAACAAAATTAGGGTAATAATAATTAGATAATACTCCTTATATTAAATAATAAATAGTATATCTTAAAAAAAAATATAGATAAAAAAAAAAAAAAAAAATAATTTTATAAAGAAGCATAGTTGTTTTAATTTTTTTTTTTTTTTTTAAATACTTATTATATATACATATATATTTTTTTTTATATTATTTTATCTTTTTTTTTTTTTTTAATTTTTAATTATGTATTTTCTAATACTTTTATGTTTTATTATTTTATTCTATTTTTTTTTTTTTTCATTTTTGAAAATGTGAATACTCAAGATAATATATTAATTTGCTTAGATTTAACAAAATAATTTTTAAAAAAATGCCGGTTATGAAAAATATGAATGAATCGTTGTAAAAAACGATATATCATTAAATTTAATTTAACTCTTTTCTATTTCATTTCGCATTATTGGTCTTTTTTTCATTAATTTTGACTGATTTATTTTTATTTAATTAGAATAACCGTCTGAATGAGGATATAATAAATTTGGTTTTAAAAAAATTTTAGGAAACTTATTAAAAGTAATATAAGCACCTAGTAAAAAAGATTCTGAATTTTCTTCACTTTTATTAAATAAATTACTTTGCAATTGTAGTTTTTTTTTTTTTTTTGATGTAATTGGTGGCCATGTAAAAGTAGACTTATTTACTTTATCATTATGAGTTGAATGAACATTATTCTTAATAATTTCAGTAACAAAACTTTTAATATTATCTAAAATATGATAAAGGTTCATATCCATTGTAGCTATATTAACATTAATATTTGCAATAGAATTCAAATCAACAGATTCTAAATTATAAATTTGATTATATAATTTAAAAGTATTTATATCAACTTGTTCACTTCTATATTCGATTCTATTTCCACTTTTTATTTTTTTTATCGTTTCTTCTAAATTATCTACTAAAGTATCTGATTTTATATTAGGCATTAATTTTTTAGGTCCTAATATTTTAGCTATAGGTAAAATTTTATTTATATTTTTAAAATTGGTTATACAAATGTTGAAATCAAGCCATCCGTTTTTTATTTTATTAATGTAATCTAAACCTACATAGTCAGCACCGTATTTTTTTAAATTTTTATTTTCTTCATCTACTAAAACTAAAATTTTTTTATTTTTATCAACACTATGTACTAAATTACACATTCCTCTCAAAGATTCTCTTTTTATATCTATTCTTATAATCAAATTAAAATTTATTTTCTCATTTTTATCTAATAAACTTTCATTACTATTTTTAAAACTAAATAACAATTTAAGTCCTTTCATCGGGGAAATTGTTGGAACTAAATTAGTAAAAAAAACTTCATTTTTTTTTTTATTTTCTTCATCATCCTTATTTTCAGCTTCTTCTGTTTTTTGTCTTTTTTTCTTTTCTTTTTTTATATCATAGAAAGGTATATATTTTCTTTCTCTTTTTTCAATAAAAAAAATTTTTTTTTTATAATTTCTATTTATTTTAGAAGTTATATGTGCATTTAAAAATAAAGAAATTTTCATTTTCTGTATTAACAAAAAAAACTAAAAAACAAAAAATATTAAGACAAGTATAAATTAAAAATGTTTATATAAACAATTTAATTTAAAAATGTTTCATTATGTATTTACAAAAAAAAAAAAAAAATATGAATAATGAAAAAAAAATTCTCTAAATAATAAAATTAAAATATTATCTTATTCTATTTTAGAAGTTGTTAAATATTCTTAAAATTTGCATACTCAACTTTATGAAAAAATATAGATACATGTAATTGAAAATTTAAAAGAACATTTTGTTAGACTTATTTATTTTTTTTTTATTATGAATTTCTATTTTTTAGTTTAACAAATTGTCATATAATTAAAATTAAACAAAAATTTTATAAAAGCTATTATATTTTATATTATAGTAAAAAAAAAAAAAATAAAATAAAATACTTATATATATATATAAAAAAAAAAAAAAATAAAAATATTTTTTTCTTTTTTTATCTTTTTATTTTATTTTATTTTTTTTTTTTTTTTTGTATTTTGTGTGTTCCTATTTGTATATATATTTTAATGCAACACCAGTAATTAATATTTAAAATAAATATTTGATAAATTAATGTTTTTCTTATATTAATTTCTTTAATTAGAAAAACTATGATAGATATCAACAAGAATAATATATAAATTTTTTCCTTTTTTATTTTTTTAATAAACGTGTAAAATATGATTGAGTTCGATGAAATTTTTGAATTTTTAAGGGAAGTAGAAAATACATGTGATAATTTTAATGAAGAAGAAGAAGAAAACGAAAAAATAATATTATTTATAAATGAGTTAAAATCGTACATTAATGATTTTTCTAATTCCTTAAAAGAAAAAATAAATAAATCAAGTGGTACAACAGAATTAGATTTATTAGAAAAAATTAATAATAAGAAAAAAAGTTTAGAAAAAATAATTTTAAAAGAAAAAAACAATTTTAACAATATTAAAAAAAAAGGTATCTTGTATAATAATGATAACATAAGTAATTTAAGTAACGATATAAATAATAATTGTATGAATTATGATAATTTAAATAATGATACTATTAATAATTATATGACTAATAACAACTCAAATAATGTTGATAATACAAAGAATATAGAAGACAATAATAGCAATCTTACCATAAAAAACGTAGAAGATGTTAAAAATCATTTTGATGAAGTAAATTATAATTCTCTTAAAAATTGTAACGAAAATTTTTCTTACAATAATGATATAAATAATATTATAATAAAAACAAAAAAAAATAAAGAAAAAGAGGAAACAAAAAAATCCATATCATTTAACTTAAACAACATAAATATGAGTAATCTAAATGGATATAATAATATAAAGGGGGTAAAAATAGAAGAAGAAATTACTTCGGAAAATAGTAAAAAAACATTATTGACTGACGAAGAAAAGATATACACAACTAATTTAGAAAACTGTCAAATTTTAAAAGATGATATTATAAAAGAGTGGAGTAATCATATAGATGAATATGACAATTTACTTTACGAGTATACATACGAATATAAAAAAAATCATGTTAGAAAAAAGATGGAAAAGAAAAATAAAATTAATTTTTTCAGTGAAAATATTGATGAAGAATTATGTTTATTAGCTCAAGAAATGAAAGAAAATGTTTTGACATACAGAGAAATAATAATTGAAGATAATAAAACTTTAGAAAAAGCTGCAAGTAAACAATTACAAAATATAGATGCATTGGAAGATGTAAATAAAAAAACAAAAAAAATGAACGAAGGTAAAAATATTTCGTTCTTTTTATCTTTATTAATAATTGCTATTTCAATATTACTTTTTATACTAACCTTTTTTGTTATAGTCTTTCTGTAATTCTTTAAAGAATACATTCTATTTTTTTTTCTATTTATACTTATGTATAAAAATATATTTAAAATCTCAAATATCTACTAGTAAAATAAAAGTTGCAATCAGACACTTCATTTATGATTAATTTTTCATACAACAAATTCATGTTAATAAAAATGAAATATGAATATATAATAATTAAAAGATGTTTATTCAATAAATTAGTACATCTTAATAAAGAAAAGAAAAGAAAAAATAAATATAATAAAATAAAGACTAAAATATAATAATAATAATATAAAAAAAAAAAAAAAAAATCAGTTTATTTTTGAAATAAAAAACTTTTAAAAGAATAAGTACATTTTTACTAATTACAAAAATAATAATTTTTCAGGAATATTTTGAAAGAGATTAACATATAAATGTATAAATATATATATATTTGCTCTTAACATATATTTTAAAATTATATATTTTTCAAAAATATGGAATCCGTTAAATATTTTAAAAAAAGAATGATTTTTTTTTTTTATTTAAAAAGGAAGTGATGCATTAATTTATCTATCTTTTAAGAAAAGAAAAAACAAAATTATATTTTTTTTTTTTTTTTTTTTTTTTTTTTTTTTTTTTTTTTTACATTGAAAATTATTAATGAAATAAAAAACTTGCAAAAATGAAAGTAAACAATTTCAAAAATAAAAAATTAAAGGAGAAACAATTAACTGAAAATTTAAAACCAAAAAAAACAAAAAAATTGAAAAATGAGTTAACCTTAAGGAATAATGAAAAATATAAGCAGAAAAAGGATAAAGTTAAATATAAAAAGAAATCTTTAAATTTATCAAAACATGATGATACATCATATAATGTAAGAAAAGAAGAAAAAATAAAAAAAGATAAGATAAATAGTGTCAAAACAATAACAAGCAAAAAGATAAATAAAAAAGAGGAAAAAGAGTCTAGTAAATTAAGAATATATACAGATATTAGCGAGTCAGAAGATCTAGATGAAGAATTATGTGATGATGACAACTTATTTATGCCTAGTAAATCAAAATATAATAAACGTAAATCATTAATTAATGAAACAAGTAAACAAAAGAAAAAAAAAAATCTTAAAAAAAAGCAGTGTGCAGCTAAATATTTAAAATTAAATGAGTATAATGAAGAATATGAAAAAGAATTACTTTCGTATGCTATAAATGGATTTTATAAATACGTAAATTTTTTAAAAAATTATAAAAATTCAATTACAGTAGAGAATCAAATGGATAATAAAAAACCTAAACATTTGTACGTTTAAAGGAATATTATGTGTTTTCATTATAATGGAAGAATTTTATTTATTTTATTTTTATTGAACAATTTACGTTAAAAGGATACGTTAAAAACATATAAATGGTATAAATTAAATATAAACATTCATAAGTTTTATATTTGTTTATTAAAAATATTTTTTATTCTAATATATATAATATAAAAAAAAACTACTTATAAACTGATATATATAAAGTGAATTTTATTCTTTTTTTTCCTCTTTTTTCTTTTTTTTTTTGTTATTATTTTTTTATAAAATTATGTATATTTGCTTTAATGAACTCCTTTTATTTTTTTTAAACTTTGTTTTTGATATATTATATCAAAAAAAAAAAAATAAAAAATAGATTTTATCTATATTTATATAAATAATAAAATAATTAAAAAAAAATTTTATTTTTTTTTTTTAATTGAAAGTAAAAGAGTATGAAATTATTTTGTCTACAAATAAAAATATTATAATAATAGTAAAAAGGTATCTATATCCTATAAGGCACATTAAGTTGTATTATATTCGATAAAAAATTGAAAATAAAAAATACGGAAATATAATCATATGTTAATTTTTTTTAAAGAATCTTAATTATTATTTTTAAGTATAAGGATTTCTAAAATAATAAAGTTGCATTTAAAAATCTATTATTTATTTTTTTTTTTTTTTTTTTGTTCTGAATTTAATATATACTTGATGGTAGAAACCCCTTTAAACTCGAACTTTACGTTTATATTTTTAAGTTTTTAAATGTAAATGTTTTTTATATATTTTAGATATTGAATTTCAATTTTTTAATAATATAAAATATATTAAAATTATAATTATAATTATTATTA